TAATTTGAGAAACGAATGCATCTAATAATAATGTACAAAACTCTTTTATGGTTGCCTTACTGTGACTCAGAAAGAAATTCAACATGCATATAACTTCGGTCAGGAACTGATACCTGCCATGGGCTTGTAGTTTATGTGAATTAGCTGATCAAAATTCATTAAGTAATGCTGAATGAAGGAAAAATCAGGTATTGAAAAAGTACAAATGTCAGCAAGAGAAAAATTTCCAACTTGACATAACCACTGTGAACTAGTACCAGTCTTTGGTTTCATAGATGTTTTCCAATTTTCTTGCTAATCTATGCTGATCTTTTTATTTGATAAAGTGCACTTTCACAAAAAGATCATCAATCACATTCACCTTAGTAAATTCACCAACATACGAAGCGACTATGCCCTCTCTACGATGGCTAATTTAGTGTCAGCAAATTCATTCTCTAAAGAGAATGAGCAGTTGGCAACATTTCTTCATTTAAGAAAAATCTGAGGAAAAGTAATCTAAGATGAACATTAACCGTGAAGTATGTACAAAACAGAATTTATTCATTGATAACTCATGATTCACCTTGTACTAGTGGCCTTACTTGCATGACTAATCCTATTGGAGTTAAAGTTGTGAAGTTAAGATAAATATTTATATGATCTGCTTACAGTAGCTAATCTTTATTTGCATGCATGAAATCTGTATATTTACTATACTTACCTTTGCCATTAATTTAGGCAAATTAGGAAATGATTTAGAAAACAATGACATAGTTTTCAGAAGCACAGAATATTCTGCTTCTAAAATGTCATGGTTTCACTCAATTTGGCAGCTTCCACAAACAAGCAGAATTTCCTCAGACCTTCCATGCAAACATCAGCACTAGCCAAAAACGGTAATGTTGCCCACATTTTTTTCTTTTCATTCTGATACTATCTTAACTGACAGACAAAGTCATGTAACCTATTTTATAAGATATTATTATGTACATTCACTTTTGCATGGAAAGCCTGCAGAAATTATTTCTTCTTCTTTTTTGTGAAACCAATAAATACAGTGTGATATTACAACTAAAAATGCAATATTCTATATTTTAAATTAATTTAATTTTCAGTTTACACCATATGTTTCACATACTGTTCCTGTCACTATTCATTTCCACTTAAAATCATTCACACATACACAGAAATTGCCTTACAGGTCCCAGAATGAAACAGCTGCTTAACTTTGAAGCTCTGTTAAATAGTTTTCACGCTTGCCATTCTCCAGGTTATTGAAAGTTAGAAAATGATAACATAACAGTTACCTAAATTGCAATCTCCATAAAAATCTAATCACAATAACATAACTACACATTAACATTCTAATAATGTATGAAGATTTTACTGTCAAACAGGGTGTCAACATATCAAAGCCTTATTAAGGATTATTTAACAAACCTCCCTTCTTTGACCCATACTGTGGGCTGGATTTTAAAGTGCACCCCTTCCAAATGAAAAATCAGCAGGGAACCATCAATCCTAAATCTGGCTGCCCAGAAGCCATACGACCAGCAGTTCCAATGAAGCTCAAAATGACAGTTAAGTTCAGGGTAATGGCAGAAGCAGGCCAGCAGGTCCCAATGAGATGGAGCTACAGGATGGAGGAGCTGGGATAGTAGGCCATAGCTGATCCTGATCCCTTATTGTCCTCACATCTACTTTTAGCAGGCTAAATTTATAAATATCAGAAGACAAAACTAGACAATATTTTTCTTTCCTAAAACATGAATAGGAAGCCAAATGCAGTACCTTAGCCCACTTTTCCAGGAATGCTGCACCTTGGAAATGTTAGGCTGACTAAGTACCATTTCTTAAGGATGGCAAAGAAACAAATTGACAAAGTTATATTTGAACCACTCATATATAATTCTACATGGTCATTGAAAGCAACTGAGTAACATCTCTAAGTAAACTTCACTGCTTGCCCTCCTAACCAGCAATTCTGCATGGTATGTTGTAAGCCAGACAGGGGATTTAAAAGAACTATATAAAATACCAATTTAGACTCTCACCAAAATAGAGCCTACCAGACAAATGAAGCAGGTGATACTGCCTTGTTAGAATATTAGAACAGGAGCAGGTCACTCAGCCCCCTCGAGGCTGCTCCACCATTCAATGAGATCATGGCTGATCTATGCCTAACTCCACATTCCTGCCTTTGGCCCATATCACTTAATACTTTTGCTTAACAAAACTTTGTCTATCTCAGATTTAAAATTAACAACTGATCCCGCATCCACCGCTGTTTGTAGAAGAGAGCTCCAAAATCTATCAATCTTTGTGCGTAGAAGTGCTTCCTAACATCTCTCCTAACATAATTCTCAGACTATTCCCCCTAGTTATAGAATCTCCAAACGGTGGAAATAGTTTATCTTTACATGCCCTGCCTTTTCCTGTTCATGTCTTGAAGACTGTGATCAGATCATCCCTGAACCTTCTAAATTCTACAGAAAAATGAGCCTCATTTGTATAATCTCTATTCATAACTGAACCCCTGAAGTCAAATTATCATCCTTGTAAACCTATGTAGTACTCCAAGGCCTCCAAGGCTAATACGTCCTTCCTAAATTGTAGTGCCCAGATCCACTGACAGTACTAAGCGGAGTCTAATGAGGGCTTTGCATTGCTGCAGCATAACTTCTAGATCCTTGTTCTCCAGTCCTTCAAATATAAAGGCCCGCATTCCATAAGCTTTCTTAATTAATTTCTGTACCTGTTTGTGACATTTTAAAGATCCACGTACGTGAACCCCCAGTCTCTTTGAACATGCACTGTATTTAACTTCATAGAAAGTATCTTGATCTATATTTTTTCAGTACAAAATGGATAACTGCACATTTGCTTACATTGAACTCCATCTGGCACAGTTTTGTCCATTCACTTTGCATAAAATTACAAAAGGATATTGATAGACTTGCGTCTAAACAGTCTATAATGCCACCCAACTGTGTGTCATCAGCAAATGCTACCTAATTTTGTGTCATCAGCAATGCTTATAGCAGTTATGCAATACTCATGTGTGTCATTCTTATTTGACTCTTTTTTTCAATTTCAAAATTTCCAGGAACAGAAATCTAAAATTTGTAGAATCTTTCTTTGTGTTAACGAGTTATCCATCTTCTTACTAAGTCAAAGTTGATGCATTGCAAAAAATATTCTTAAGAGAGCGAGAGGCAAATTTTAAGGTAACTTGGAAAGAAAGTGTACATAGCCGCACAAAGTGTTTAAAACTTCATATTCAAGAAATTATACTAGTGAAAGGAAACTCAATTTTAATAAAAAACAAAACAACTGCGGATACTGTAAATCAGGAACAAAAACAGAAGTTGCTGGAAAAGCTCAGCAGGTCTGGAAGCATCTGTGAACAGAAAATCAGAGTTATCGTTTCGGGTCCGGTGACCCTTCCTCAGAACTCTGAAGAAGGGTCACCGGACCCGAAACGTTAACTCAATTTCAATGTCGTGCAGATGTTTTAAACTTAATTAAAATCTAAAATTAGTTAAAATATAAGGTTGTCTTGCAGGCGATAATGGATGATACTAAAAAAAAATGTAATTCCATAGAATTCGGTCCTAATAAGATAGCTTTCTTACTTTTAAACAGGGGGAAGGATTTATATTCATTGCCACATTTATAGCAAAAATAAACTATCCAACCAATACTCAATTTGTAGTTCAGGGACAAAAGTTGCTTACAACCTCCTGTTTATATTAATTACTTTTTCTTATGATATTAACATATCTCAGGTACAGATGTTCTATATATTAATTAGTCTGCAAATAAACTTAAGATCCACAGTTATTCAATCACATTTTTTTGAAGAAACCTAAAATAGAAACATTAGCCACAAGAGCATTTTTATTGCAAATTAAGAATTTGAGTATCAACCTGAAAATCTCAGCGACTTGTACAATCTATAAAACAGTTTTTAGATTCTTAGAAATAGTCAAATACACAAGAAAATAATTTAAAAAACATATATTAAAAAATCATTTTGGTAACTGGAGTTGTTCTTGTCAGCGGGAAAAACAACTGAAATTAATGACAGTGAGCAATTATTCTTCACAGTAACATGTCATTTAATGCCAGATTTTTAGAAAATGTGAAGACAAAAATGACCTTGAAATTATTAAGATAAAATATTAAACTGGCACAGGCCGTTTATCCTGCATTATAACTGCAATCTACTCCAATAACCTTCTAAACTAAGTGGAGCCCAGCTCTGAAAGCTAGTAAAACAAAAGTAACGTGGCAGTGCCCATTTGAGATATCGTTTATTTCAGCGCAGTTTGTGTGAGATATAGTATGCCATAATAGTGCCACCATACAACATAAAATCACAGTATAAAAGATGACAAAGAGGTTTATCGTAGGGACAAAGTGCAATATAATGTCATTGTTACACATAGAAAACATTTATTTTTTCTGATGCGGTTTAATTTCCGCCATCCTTAATCCTAACATTGACACTCTCTGTAAATGTGAAGATGTGTTTGGAGTAGTGGGTCTGGTAATTGGTGCAACAGGTACTGTCGGACAGATACCTAGGGCAATGTGCTGTGGTGCTCCAGATAAGGCATTCAACCGTGGATGCGGTGGGGTAAAGGGAAGCCGTCTCGCACATTAACCCATCACTCTCCAGGCAATCGGCTTGTAAACAACGAGCAGATTAAACCGACGAAGAGCCTGCTGGAACTTGGCCTAGTTGGTGCCTGCAGCTGCCGCTTTCAGCACCTCCCGAGGAGCGGACAGCAGCCGAGCCGCAGGCCCGGGCTGCAACCCGCTGACAGACGATGGCGCTCCCGGGCTCCAGCTAGGCCCGGCCCGGCCTTTCGTTGCTCGTGCTCCCGCTCCCACCGTTTCTCACCTCCTCACAGACGCCCACGGGTCCGGCCCTGGTAGACAGGCCGAGCGAGTGAGAGAGTGAGTTTAATGGGGCCAGTCAGTGGGAGCTGGTTTCTCTGTGGCCTACTTACCATCAATTGCCATGATGCTGATGATCCATCCAGACCGACCCTGCCACTGCCTCCGCCGCCGGGGAGCGGGTTGCTCGAACTGGAAGAGGCGGAGGGAAGACAAGCTGCGGCGTCGCCACCGACAAACACCAACACATACATGGAACATTCCAGGCGGGCCACGCTCCCGCCGCCTTTGGCGCGCTCTCTCAGCTCGTGCGCAGTCACAAGCGAGAGCCGGCCCTCGTTCTGCGAAAGTCACTGTGCGCGTGCACCTCGTGTCGTAGAGAGGTGGAGGAAAACAGGGCCAGTTACGTTATGAGTGTGTGATAGGTGAGATGTAAAACATTGAAGGTGGACGGCAGGTTGAAGAAGTGATAACAAAGGTAAAGAAAAAAAAAAGACCCTAGGCTTTGAAAATAAAGGTAGGGAGTACAAAAGCAAAAAATTTATCGTCAACCTTTATAAGATACCAGTTTGACCTCAACTGGGAATTGTGCTCAGCTCTGGACACCACGCTCAGGAAGGGTGTGGAGGATTTCGAGCTGTAGAAAAGCTGAAGGAGAATGGTGCCAGGTGCAATTTAACAAAAACAGAAATTGCTGGAGAAACTCAGATCTTGCAGCATCTGTGAGAAGAAAGCAGAGTTAACATTTCGAGTCCGGTGACTCTTTCAGAATGCGCCAGGTACTATGTAGATTGGAGCATCCAAAGCTCTTGGAGGTCAGGACAGAGTAAGTAGAGATAAATTGTTGGCATTCGCAAGAAGAATGAGAACCAGAGGATACCAATTGCTGGTGATTGGCAAAAAAATTTACAGCAATGTGAGGGTTTTCTTCTGCATGGATAAGAATGCACTGCTGGAGAGTATGGTTGAGGCACATTTAATCATGGTATCCAGGAGAGATTAAAAAAAAGAAACAACAGTGCTATGAGGTAAAAGCAGGGACTTAGGTGAGTTGATCTTGTGGACATCTGGCTTGGACGCTTTAAGCCAAATGCTATCGTTGTGTGATAACAAGGTGTAGAGCTGGATGAACACAGCAGGCCAAGCAGCATCAGAGGAGCAGGAAAGCTGACGTTTCGGGCCTAGACCCTTCTTCTATCTTTGTGTGTTGTAGTGATTCTGCAATTCTGTGTACAGAAGCAAGCCATTGGGCTCAGTTAGTGCTAAGAATGCAGGTTTATTTTCCAAGTCCAGTTGAGGTCATCATGAAAGCCTGTCTTTCCCCATGCCTGAGGATTGGTGACCCTCAGATTAGACCCACCACAAGGCATTGTCAACTGTTTTTGGGACCCTGGCAACTTTCACTTCACTGTAAATGCTTCTTTCTCATTTCTTTTGTGTTCTGATCTGTTGTTGTGATTTCAGTGTAACATCATCATCATTTGCATATCCCATTTTACTACAGGTATAACCTCAGTGTATGAGAGACATTATGGACACAGACTCAGTGTGTGAGACTCTAGGGCAGATGAGGCTTCACTATATTAGGGAGATAGCACCTACAACCTCAGCTAATTGGGAACAGGAATAAATAACAACTCAATGTGTTAGAGATGGGCAAATGCAACTTTCAGTATGTGCAAGATAGATACAGATGAAACTTGAGTACAGTGTGATATAAGTGTGATATAAACTGTCAACTGCCACCTACAGGACAACCAATGGGCCGGCAAGGGAACATGGAAGCATAATGTGTAATTGTCAACCCTAGAACACGTTGAGGAATTCAAAAGGAATTACATAGGTTGGAGAACCATGAAACCACTCTTTGAGTCTCCAGCAGTTTGGTGGGAAACAGTCAGGGGGAATATCAAGAAATTCTTCATCCTTAAAGGTGTTCAAAAGGAGAGAGAAAGATAGGGAGAATTGTCCAAATTCCAGAAAAGCATGCAGAACCTTGTCTAGCTGCAGATGATGGGGTTCAATGTCAAGGTTATTCACTCCGACCAGACCTTGTTGTACTGGACAGGAAGCTCTCTGACAGCCTCCTACTCTTTAGGGATATGATTGCCTACGTGCAGGATAAGGGGTGGGATGGGCACCTGCCTCATCAGCCTGGACCAGGAGAAGGCCTTTGATAGGATGTCACACGCCTACATGAGGGACATGCTCTCCACACTGGCTTTGGGGAGAGAATCTGCAATTGGATCTGACTGCTGTACAGAAATGATTTAGAACTTTTGTATGTACTTATTGATGATTTTTATGAATAAAGTGTATTTTTCAATTTTAAAAAACTGTGATTTATGTCTATTTTTAACATCACTTATTTTAAGTTTGGCCTTTTGGTTTTTGAGTTAGTGATGTGGTTTTTTCTGTGTGTCTGAAGTTAATCATTAACTTGTAATTCTGTAGCTAAGGTGATTTACTTTAAAATAATTTTTTGAGGTCAAGCTTTAGAATTAATGGTTG